ATAATTTCTGTAGCCCTACCTATGGGACTTCATTCAAACCACGAAAAAATTCTTACTCCCTTTTTTTAACACTTCTTTCTATGTTTCCGATAATTCTGTGTAGAAAAATGCAAAAAAACTGGTCGCCTGTGCGTATATATACCGAAACGATAACTCTAAGCGAAAGCCAGATCGACTTGTGGTTTTGATTTTCTTGAATAATTGCTTCTAACTCAGAACTCTATTAATTTTCATAAATTTTGGTCAACCTAACTGCTTTTGTAGAATTTTTAAACTATCAGAACAAAAAATGCACTGCCCAAAGAATTGGTATTAATAAATTTATCAAAATGAAAAAAGATGTTGCCGCTTTTTGAAACCATTTTAAATTTTTATACGTAGGTAGACCTAAAACAAAACATTGACCTTCTCCAAGATAACATAAAGCAACTAAAACAAAAAAAAGGAACACAACAAAAAATTCGAAATCGAAACAACAAAGGTCAAAATCAGATCAAATTCAATCAGCTCTGTTAACATCTCACGGCAGGTACCCGCAACGTTGCCAACTCACCCAGGATTTCAGGAGAAATCTTCTACAGCATTGTCAAGTCCATCAAAAAATACTAAAAGCCCCGTAACGGTACAACGAGATCTGATGAATGATATTATAAATCTAAATAACTCTATAGATGAACAACCAAAACCTGAAAAGGAAAATGAGCATGATTACACAAAAGTTACACATAAAAGAAATAAAAACAAGAAACAAACAAAAAGAACCTATGGTGAAAATGAAGTAAATAATGATTTCGGAGTGGAAAAGAAGGCCTGGATATACCTTTACAGAGTACAGCGTCATGTAACATCTAATAAAATAAAACAGTATCTAGATAACCAAGATGTTTTCAAAAACTCCAATATAACAATTAAGGAACTACAAACTGAGGAATCCCAAAATAAATGTTTTATGCTGGGCTTTAATTTCAACTTGAAAGATGAGATATACAAACCATCTACCTGGCCTAAATCAGTTGCCTACAAGAGATTTGACTTCAAGAAGTACAACCATTATCAAAATCGTAGTGAGGATTTTAAAAAAACTCTCCACCTAACTTAGAAGCTAAAAATGAAAAGCTAATTACTTATTTCCACAATATAAGAAGTCTACAAAACAAATTGGATGAATTACGGTTAATCCTTAATGACTTTGAGGAGAAACCTAACGTAGTTTGCTTAGCAGAACATTGGTTAACAGAGACAAATATCAATCATTTCCAGCTAGAAGGTTTATATCTAGGAAGCTACCATTGTAGGTCTCAAAGTGAACATGGAGGCGTGTTAATCTACATCAAAAATGAACTTAAGGTAAAGCTACTGCCAATAAATAACTTATCAGTTGACTCTCACTGCGAGTTTACAGGAATCAAAATTTTTAATTTAAATGTTACCATTATATGTATGTATAGATGCCCTTCAGGTAATGTAAATTTGTTTTTTGAAATTTTAACCCAAGTTCTCAAACATGTGTTTTGTCAAAAAATGTTTTTATCTTAGGTGACTTCAATATTGATATTTTAGTTGATAGTAACTTAAAAAATGATTTCATTAACTTATTTATAATAATCTTATGCTTTTAACTATTTAGTGTCGGAACCTACCAGAATTACAAAAAAATCAAAATCTTGTTTAGATAATTGTTTAGCAAACATCCCTCCAGCGGATTGTAAAATAGATCTTGAAGATTTTTACCTTTCAGATCATAAATGTATCATAAAAACGATTAACTTACCTCAAAATCATTGCTTAGATAATCAGACCAGCATCATAAAATTCAGACCACTAAACGAAACAAGAATAAATGACTGCATTGATTACTTAAAAAACCATGACTGGACTTTACTTAAAGATTCAGATAGTGTAGATAATATGTGCCATATATTTCTAGAAACATTCCGACATGCCGTTGAAGAATATTTACCAGTTCATACACGAAATAAAAATAAAAAATGGTATAATTATGAACTAAAACTTATCAGACAACAGCTAAACGATTTACACCAACTAACAAAAGTGATAAAAGATGATAATTTAGAATTAGAAATTAAAAATCTAAAACTTACATATAAAAATAAAATTCGGGAACAAAAACAAAACTATTTCACAAATAAAATTAATTCTTCCAAGAATAGGTCCAGAAGTATATGGCAACTCATAAAACCAAATAACAAAGATAAAAAAATCAAATAACACTAAACTTAACCCTAGTGATCTTAATAATTTTTACCTCAATGTCTTTAATAATATCACAAATTTGTTACAGGCACCTATCTCAAATAGAGAGCCCTTAGACTCACTGAAAAAGCATGTTTGGAATAACAATACTCTTTTTCTATATCCGGTAAATAGGGAGGAATTAAAAGATATTGTTAATGAATTATCCAATAGCACAACATTGGATGTTTTTGGTATTAGCAATAAAATTCTTAAATTATTATATATGATCCACTCATCGTGATTATAAATAAATGTTTTACTGATGGCACATTTCCTCAGGATTTAAAGACTTCAAAAGTCTCCTATATACAAAAAAAAAAGGAAATGAAAACCTTCCAGAAAACTACAGGCCTATATCAATAGTACCTATACTATCAAAGCCTATTGAAAAAGCTTTTAACAATAGACTTTTTGCATAACTTAACAAATTAAATCTTCTGAGTGACCAACAATTTGGTTTTAAAAAGAAGTCCTCAACAATAAATGCTATCACAAAGCTGGTGACTGATATTGTCAGTGCTTTTGAGGATACACAGATGCTTTCAGCAAGTTTCTGTGACCTCTCAAAGGCATTTGATTGTGTTAGCCACAGCAAACTATTGGATAAACTCCCATACTATGGTATAAGAGGTAAAGGTCTTTATCTCCTAACCCAGTACTTAAAAGACCGTTGTCAATTTGTACAAATTGGAAACAATACTTCAGAAACTCAAAAAGTTCATGCTGGAGTACCCCAAGGCTCAATTCTTGGGCCAACCCTCTTTATACGTGAATGACCTACCTTACTATCTGAAGCCTACTTTTTCCGTTCAGTATGCAGACGACACTACTTATTATCACTGTAACAAGGACAAAGACGAGCTAGAAACTCTTGATGCTGGAGCTCTTGCCTTGTCTAACTTATGGTTCTCTATTAATAATCTTTTACTGAATACTGACAAAACAGTCAAAATGTTATTTACACTCAGATATACCTCAGCAAACTAAATCAACAAAATTCTTAGGTTTAACATTAGATAATAAACTTGATTGGAAACAGCATATAGAGAACAAAAAAACTATCTAGCACGCTATTTTTAATCAGAAAATTATCATGGTACACTACAAACGAAGTCTGTAGAACGGCCTATATGGGTCTTTTTCATAGCCACCTGTCATATGGGATACTGCTATGGGGAAATTCTGTAGACTGGCAAAAAATATTCATATTACAAAAAGCGGCAGTACGTGCAATAACAAAAAGGCCTCATCTAGAGTCATGTAGGCCATTATTCAAGGAACAAAAAATATTGACACTCCCATATATTAGAATGTTTATTATATGTAAAAACAAATAAAATAAATCCTTTACTACTAGGAGATACCCATGAGCACAACACTCGGTCAAGAGAACAATTGTTATTAACACAACACCGACTAACATTAACTGATAAAAGCTTTATATGCAACTCTATTAAACTATATAATAAACTTCCCCCACAGTTTAAGCTTTTTAATGAATATAAATTCAAAAAAAAAAAAAAATCAAGGAATTATTATTTTATCTAGCAGTTTATTCAATCAAAGAATTTTATGAGGCTGATTTAAGTAAGTTGGCAACACGAAAAATTTCTTAACTAAAATGTCAAGTTGACGTCACCAAATTGTTTTCTATATAAATATAAAATGTAATGTATATATAAATTTTATTGTTTTCTGATATTTGACGATGCTAAAAACTGCTGTGAGTTTATTTAAACAAATACAGTATATTCTTCTTCTTCTTCTTCTTCTAAGAGACAATGGGCGCACATATTTTTACAAGAACAGATCTAAGGGAGTAAAAAGGGATCATATAATTTTACATGGATATTTTTAAAAGGGACCATATACTTTTAGATAAATAGGCAAAGTAAGGAGCCCAAATATTTTACATGAGCAGGCTTAAGAGGTAAAGGGGCCAATTATTATTGGATAAATTGCTCGAACAAGTTTGTAAACCCTAATCAAAAAGCGATATAAATGGTTTTAAAAATCAAAGCTTGTGAAAATCATCACATGGTTCATCCTAAGTAATGCCAATGTTTCGCAAAACAAAAAACTCAACGTCTGACTACTACTATCGGCTTCCTGTTTTTTGTTCCAAGTTAAATCATTTGTCGTTTTTTTACGCTACGAGTTTACCCTTGTGGGCCTCAGTCTCTCGAATTTTTATGTGTGTTCTTTTCGCAACTGGTGACAATTAATTTTTTCTAATTTTGACGTATAAAGTGACATTTTTAAGTGTCAAAATTATCTACAAAACACAATTTTATAAATAATCTAGTCAAAATTAGAAAAAAATATTCTAAGCAACACGTTACAAAATATCGTTTTATGTAACTCGTTCATGTTGCGCTCTCCTCATCCAGCAAATATCCACTCGTTACATAAAATAAGGCATTTCGCAACTGGTTTCATAAATAGCTAATTTAAAACTTACATTTTCTTCTTTTTTATAACATGTACCTGAGACTGTTTGAAATAAACTGAGACATCGTCAAAAAAAAATTGTTTCTTTTCAAAAATTCCAAAAACAAATACGTATCGAATACCTATTACTTCTTTTAGTGTTTTTGATTTAATTACGAATACGGTGGTAACCCAAAAATGTTTTTTCTTTACAACTTGAGCAACTTGTGCGCTTTCAAATATTTCTTTTAAAAAGTAAATGTGAAGGTAGGTGAATATAAAAAAAATAAAATTTACATTATAATTAATATATTTCTCTCTTCTGTAAAACAAAAACAACAATAAAGTTATGGCAAATTTTGGCATTGAATGCTTTGGCATTAAACCCCATGAAAAATAAAATTAATACTTTCTAACAGAACAAGATATATATACATAGAATTAATATATAAGTATGAAAATTGGTGATAATACTACGGTATTAAATTCCTTTCTAACATCGTGTGAAAATACTCTTGTAAAAATACTCTATGACTAAGGCAATGTTAACACGATAATTTTTTTTATTATTAGGTATTTAAGTAGATTTTCCGATGAATTAAAGTATGCAGGTAATAATAATTATCACTAGAAGTCTGACTAAATTACTTCCATTTTGCAATCGTCTACAGATTGCTTATCACTAAAATCCTTCCCATCAACTAATTCACCTGTTTGTACATTAACGAATTGTTTTTCACCTTCGTTGTTATTAAATCTAATCGTAACCTCTCCGTTCAACGGCGGGGAGAACTTACAGTCCTCCCGACCGTGCTCTTCGAAAACCACTTTACCATTTTTCTCCAGCAGCTTCATGTTATCGCACGTCATATAACCCTCTACTTGGTTGGTATTATTGCGCACGAAATGAAGCTTACTGTGTTCCCGCAAAAAGTGACTTTGTGGCACGGTATAATCACAGTGTTCGCACGTGTAGGTACTGTTGGTACCCGAAACGCTGGCGTGGCGTTTCTGGTGATTGTCCACGGCATCTTTCCTGTTACTAGAATAAGGACAGAAGGAACACCAATAGAACTTTTTATCTTCCTCCTTGATTTGTTCTTCGCGCTTGATATTCTCTAACGCTTCGATTTGTTGGTCGGCTGTAGACAATTCTTCTTTAAGTATAATGGTTCCTTCCATTGTTTCGTCTATTTCTAATTCTGTATCGTCGCTGGAACGCCTTGCCGCGTGAGCGTCAGCGTTCATCTTGTGTTTCTTCAAGTGTTGCACATAGTTAGCGTAATACTTGACAGAATAATCACAGTCCTCGCATTTGTAACGCTGCTCGGAGCCGTGCAAGCCCAAATGTATCTTGTACTGCTCTCGTTTTTCGAAAGCTGTGGGGCACATATGGCACTTGTATCGCTTCTCCTTCAATCTACCGTTCTTCATTATAGGTTGATAGATGAAATCTGGATTTCCTCTCATCAACTCCGCTATGTTAAAATCCAAATTTCGTTGAGGAGATGGTTCGCGACCCATTTCCGCAGCGTGTTTTTGCTCGGCCTCTGATTTTTGCAAGAACAAATCGGTTCCTGACAATGGCACGTTTTGAGACGATTTCACGGGTTTATTTAAAATGCTGCATAGAGTACTCATTTCTGAATTAAGCTTATTTTCCGCTACAACATAAATTTGTTTTGCATTTTCTAATTTTATAGTTTGTATCTTTGGTTGTGGGTAATTTGAACTAGTAACATACATGTTTTGTAATACTTTGGTTCTCTCTTGGTATTCATTAGTGTGGACTTTGGAATGAGAAATAAGGTGAGGGTTTTCTCTAGAGGTATAAGTGCAATGGTCGCATTTGTAGAATAGTTTGGATCCGTGGAACCTTTTGTGGATTCCAAATTCGTTTTCTTTGAGAAATCTAGCTGGGCACTCCTTACAGAAGTATAGTACTGTTCCTGTTCCAGAAGAACTATCTATTTCTTCATCTAATAAACTAAAATCTACTGGATCATCATCTTGGGGGTTCTCTGCTGGTTGGATACCAATAGCTCTGCTCAATTCCCTAATTTGCTCCTCATCGCTTCTCGATGGATCTACCAAACGATGAACTATCCCGTATAAACCCTGATGTACTTTAGAATGCGATGATAAGACACCTGCATTGGCGCAAATGTAGTTACATTCAGTGCATCTGTGTTCAACATCATTCATTTTGGTAGTATTGGCATTTTTTTCGCGAACACTATGCATTTTTTCGTGCTCCTGGATATTGACTTTTCTTAAATTGACGTGAGGGCAGTATCTGCATTTAAACATTTTGGAGAACTTCCCGTTTTTAGATACCCAAACCAGTGGGATATCTGGTAAGTTTTGAAGGTCGATGTTGAACGTAGATTGATGCACTTCCTCTATGTCGTCTGCTGTTTCGTCGAGGAACATAACCTCGCCGTTTTGTTTGTGGGTAGCTACGTTGATACCATGCACTTTAAGATGTTGGTGCAGTAAGTGACGTTTACTAACGTTGTAAGAACAATGGCTGCAAGTGTACTGGCCGCCCCTAGGCTTGTGAAATTGTTTGTGATATGTATACTGCGATTTAGAATTGGTTACATATGGACATGTTAAGCATCTAAATTTCTTTCCTTCACTGTCGTTGTTAATCTTTTCTGACATCTTATTCAAGAAGTCTTCTGGGTCTGTTATACCATGAAGTCTCAAATGATCGCTTAGATCTTCTTTCTTATTGACGTAATACTTGCAATAGAAGCATTTGAAAATGCTGTCTTCGGCAGGAACGTGTCCAGAAAGGTGTTGTTCAAAATTTGGATTGTTGTTAGTGGAAAAGGGGCAGAAAGTACATTTGAAGGCGCCATCTTGAATGACATCGACATGATCGGGTTCGTCGGTCAATTCTTCTACTTCAATTTTTTCTTGACCGTTTTTGTTGCTTATTACTCTGACATCCCCACTGTGCTTCAATCTGCAGTGCCTCTAAAATAATAAATAAAAAAGAATTATTAGAATGATTATGTTTATGTAAGGGTTGCTAGCATGCTAAAACGTTCAAGCTAAAAATAAAAATATTATAAACATAAAAAGCCATGCCAGTAGCAGTGCAATATTATTTTATATGTTGTTACTGATAATCAATTATTGTTGTCTTTTCTTTAAAAATTTAGAGGAGTATTTATTTAAACATAAGATCTCATAGTTATGACTATGCTATAAACATATTTAAGCGATGGTATACATTATTTTGATTAAACAATTGTTAGTGATGATTTCCAGAGGAAAAAGTCCAAAGGGGTAAAATCGTAAATTCTTGGCGGCCAATTTTAGTCTCCAAAATGAGAAACGTCATTATCTCTTATGGTGAGGGGGGTTGCCCCTCCTTGTTGAAACCACATTTCATTCCTGTCTATTATACTCAATTCCCGGCCAAAAAAGTTTGTCAATATACCGCGGTAGCGATAGACATTGGGCAATTATTGAGAATTATAGAACATAGAATGTTCGTAAACACTAGTCTCTCATTTGTAAGCTCCATTCTGTCACTAAGCATTACAGATCAACGATCCCAAGTCCATTTATCATTCTTCCATCCTATTGTTTTTTATAAAAAAACTCTACTATGATTTGAAAGGTAATGTTTAGGGCAAACAAATGATCGATGACATGATAACAATATTGTCATGACATGGGATTTTTTTAAGAGAGATTATAATGTGTATGACGAACTTGGTTTGTATTGAAATAAGTTTATTTCGCAGATACATGGTAAGCCACGTACCACAGAGATAATACAACACTGTGGCAGTACCACTTAACAATTCAGTCAAAAGTCAAGTTCCTATTGAGTCGCCATTTACAACAAAAAACAATGTATATCATTTATTCCAACTTTAAAAGAAATTGCATTTGTATTAGATTTTCTCACTTTAATTAAGTAGATATTAAATTAAAAACCTTTACTTCTGACACCTATCTATCGCATTTTTTAAGATTTTACCTGCAATGTAATAAGTGATAGAATAACATTGATACGGATATCTTTTTCCAATCTTTAAGCTTTTTGATCGCACCATAAAGAATTTTATGTCGTGGTATTAAATATTGCACTTGACAATTGAATTGAATTTATATATTTTTTTCTACTTCTTATCACAACTTTTTTCTTTCTTATCGTGTCTTTCCAGGTAATTCAATTTAATTTCGATATGTATAAATGCAATCAATTGGAAACTGTGAAGATAAGAAACAATGGTTGTAACGAAAACTGAGCATATTTCGATTAATATAAGTACAGTAAAAAAAATTATGTATGACTATTTTTACAACACGGATAAAAAATCTCATTAAAAAATAATGCAATAAAATGAACAACTTTAGGAACACGAATGAAAGTGTTAATTTAATTAAAATAAAGTGTTAATTTAACTAATAAATTATAACTAATTTGTGGTTTAGAGTCTACTGATCAGATTTATTGTTTCTAAAATATTCCCAGATAGCACAGGACGTCCTAAAGACGCCCATTACATGTCCATTTATAGTCTGTTTATTTGACTGTGATTCGACTCTGTGAGTTTGTGGTTAATTAATATTTATTTTTTTGCAGTTTATACTAGGTATTTTTATCTCTGAGAAAGGTGGAAATTTTCCAGTGAATACTACAAAGATATAATGTCTAGCATGGCAAACTTAAACAAACAGATTATATTTTCATATTGATCTGCCTTTCATTTTGAATAAGTGATTAAATTATTTTCAGGTTCAGCTGAGAAGGCAAATATGGCCAAATCAAGAAAAAAAAAAACTGAACTGCTGCCTATCCAGGCATGGTTGAAAAGGACAAAGTAGAGGAGAAAAAGTTTTAATAATTTTATTATTCATAGGTTATTTGATTCCAAATAAATGTTTTTGAAATTATTCATTATTTTCACTAATTTCCTTAAACATCCTGTTATTTTCCATTCGAGCTTTTAAAAATATCCATGGAATATCCTTAAATGGACGTTCTTAAGACATCCTGATTATTAACAATAGACGTTCCAAAGACGTACACGTACACGTACACGTCCGTGAAATGGACGTTGTAAGGATGTCCTGAATGTCCAAGCAGGCCGTTTTTAGAACATCCATAAGACGTATTTGTGCTATCTAGGTTTCATCTAAAAATATATGGGTGCAACATAGATTTTTACCAATCTTACACCTTACAATCCATCTATCCATCTATAAATTGACACATTTTAACAACTTATAACTCGACAATTAAAAAAGATATCGAGATGCAGTTTTCACTAGACCTTCTACATTTACTTCAAGTTTTTCTTGACATTGTTGCCACATGTAATTTTTTTCTGGAAAGTGCCGAAAAAAAAAACGAACTTTTTTGAACCAAAATTATGAGCTTATTTTAAATAGAACACCCTATAATTTTTAACATCCTCGTAAAGACCATTTCTTCCCCTTTCCAAAAAAAATGTATACATTGTAAGCGTTTACTTTATTTTTTAGGGAAACATTCACTTTTTTATGCAACCATGTCAATAACTTCCAAACGTAAAGTATCACAATTAATTAACTTATAATTTGGGAGTAAGGCAATGTATTGATAAAAGGTTTTCACCAAAATTCTTGGAAATGTTTAAAATTTTTTCTGACATAGTTGCCAAATCTTAAACTTCTAAGTTTTCGTAAAAAAAAAAATTAAATTCAGATTAAGGTCTTATGGCGAATGAAACATTTCGTATCTCTCATAGTCATTAGATAGTTTATTTCTTCGCCTTTTAAAAAAAGTAAATTTTTTATAATTTTTTTATTGCTTTAATAGGTTTTAATTTTAGGTAATTAAATCAATGTTAACGGTGTCTATTACATTTTGGTGGCACATATCGAATTATAAATTGACGTTTTACATCGAACGATCATTGATAAGATACTGTTTTTCATTGCCTTGTCCCTTAGGTATAAATTTTAGAATAATATCAAGTAATGATATTTTACTTATAAAGACAGAGGGGAGCACCTCATACCACACGGATTTTGGTACCTGTCTCAATTTTTATTGAATACAAAAAATATGTACTAAAACATTAATAAATTAATTGTTGAATATGGCTTCCATTTTGTTCAATACATGTATGCAGACGCATTAAAAAATTTGTAAATGCATTTTGCAGTATTTCTGGGGTAATTGTATTAAACACATGAATTATATTATTCCTCAGTTCAGTTAAGTTTGTAGGTGTTGGATCGTAGCATCTTTCCTTAACATACCCCCATATAAAAAAATCTGGTATAGTTAAATCCGGAGAATATGGAGCCTGTTCGATGGGACCAGCCCGACCTATCCATTTATCTCCAAAGGTTGAGTTCAAAGAATTCCTGGCTACAAGAGAGTAATGCGGTGGAGCACCATCTTGCTGGAAATATACAGTATTTTGTATTTCTTCTTGTTCTAGTTGAGGATAAAAGAATAGTTCTGCATATCCGTGTAATTGTTTCCATATACTGTTTCCTCTTGAAAGAAAAATGGTCCATAAATTTTGGTTTTGGACACACCACACCATACATTTTCCTTGGGAGCATCTCTTTCAAACTCGTTGAAAGCTCTAGGATTTTCGTCACCCCAAATCCTACAATTGTGTTTGTTTACGCGTCCACTTAAATGAAACGTTATTAGATTTACATTTGGTTGATGTCTAAATAAATCTAATAACGTCTCACACATAAAAACTCTCTTTTCAAATGCATGATTTTCAATTTTATGAAAAGTCTGAACCTTATATGCTTCAAACTTGATTACTTCTAAAATTTTATGCATCTTACTCTTTGACATATGTATGGATTGGGCAATTTTTCTAATAGATATTTTATTATTGTTTCTTGCTAAAATTTCGCTTATCTGTATAACATCATTTAAAATAATATCTTGAGCGTTTTCAATTTGTCTTTTTTTTCTATCTAATGTTCCCGTTTCTTTGAACTGACTTACCCAGTTTAAAATAGAATTTCTGGTTGGCGAATTTTTTCAAACATATTTCTAAATCTTCTTTGTGTATGTGTAATTGATCTACTTTCAATATAAAGTAAAACGCACCGGGCTTTTTCACTTTTGGTAAACATTTTTTAATACCTGCTTTCTATTGCACTAATTAATACAAATATAGACTTCTGTCAACTCGATTTGTTTTACATAGCACCCTTGATAAATTAGTAGTATCATTTATTGACTCATTCATATTCTATCCAAAGCTCAAAGCTGAGTAAGTTAATTTACAAAAAGAGGAATATTAAATAGACAAAAAAAAAAACAGATATAGATACATATTGAAAACGCTTAAGACATTCTTTTAAATGATGATTTATGGATAAAGGCTTGCAAATAAACGTTACAAATACGAAGAATTTTATTCATCATAAGCCCTTAATCTGAATTGGTAAAAGTAATCTTTTACGAAAATTTTAGACATTTGAGATTTTATAACCATTTTATAAAAACATTTCCCATGGTTTCATAAAAAAGTAAATTTTTCCCAAAAAAATTGAATAAATGCTTACAATGAATACATTTTTGGAAAGGGAAAGAAATGGTCTTTCCGAGGATGTTAAAAATTATAGGGTGTTCTATTTAAAATAAGCTCACAATTTTGATTCAAAAAAGTTCGTTTTTTTTCGGCACTTTCCAGAAAAAAATTACATGTGACAACAATGTCAAGAAAAACTTGAAGTAAATGTAAAAGGTCTAGTGAAAACTGCATCTCGATATCTTTGTCCGTTTTCGAGTTATAAGTTGTTAAAATGTGTCAATTTATAGATGTATTATCTGTATTATATTGTTGTCTATATCATATATTTCTTTTTGTCTCTGAGGTGTGTCGAGTTATTATCCTTAACGTTTTTATTATCATTTCCGGGAAAAAAGGTTGTTAAATATCGGTAATGATAATGATAGATCAACAACTTGTTTGCAAGGTATTCACTGA